TCCTCTGGACATGTCCAAACCACTGTCCCTCCACTGGACATGTCCAAGCTATCCATCTTCTTGTCCATCTTAAGCCACAAAGTTTTGTAATTTAACTGAGCTGGTAAATTATTAACCTTTAAAAAAAAAAGTCCAAAGTTTTTACTGAATATGAAAAAACAAAAATAAAATGTTTAATTTAATTCATGAAATCATGAAGGAAAAAAAAAGTCCTACTTCAAAAAATAAACGGCTGCGAGGACGCTCACAGTTCTCATTTCTACCTCAGTCGGACCGTTTGGGACCGATTGCGTGCAGGAAGAGGTTTCTTCTCACCACGGTTCTGATCCGAAGCCGTACCAGGCCAGCTGGAGGATCTGGAAGCCCAATCCCAGCAGAACCGTGTTCTTGTTGCCCAGATATCTCATAAGCAGAGTGAGGAAGAGCGTCTGAGGAAGAGGAGTGTTTGGCAGTGAGACGAGGAGCGTTCACGTTTTAACGACTGCGAGGTTCTACCTGAGCCACGATGGACAGAGTTCCCACCACGCCGATGAACACAGCGATGGTCGTGGACGAGAAGTTGATCACCTGCAGAGAGAACAAAAGAACGTTCTTACATCAAAACCGATCGTTGGTCTTTTGAAGGACTTCCTGTCCCGACCCAGGACTCACCTGTCTCAGGTAGAGGAAGAAGCTGGAGTACTGTCCGGCCTCGGGCAGGTAAGACAGGAAGACGGTGATGCAGATCAGCAGGACCGTGGAGTCCTGACCCACTTTCCTCAGAGACTGAGACAGAGACAGGGGGACATCAGTCCAAGCAGAACTCCCGGACCAACACCTCAACCTCGTTGTTGGTTTCCTGTTTTAGAATCAAACTACTTCTGCAGACTTTGAGCCATTTTAGCTGTTTTCATATCAACAGGTTCGGCTCATTCAGGAGACGGGTGCTGTGACTTCTTTTAGTTGATTTGATTCTTTTTAGAAGCTACGGGCTCCAGTTTGTCTTCTACAAGTTGTAGGTTTTAGTTACTGTTCTGATATTGTCCGACTTTAGCTATCCTTTTGCTACTTGTAGCTAGTTGTGCTACTTTTGGCTAGTTTTGTGCTACTTGTTGCTATTCCTTTGTTGTGTTCCACGACCAGGACGAAAACCGCACTGCTCCTCCTGAATCCGAGGTTCGACTATCCGACGGACCCTCCTCTCCAGAAGCCCTGAACAGACCTTACCAGGGATGCTTAAGAGCGTGATCCCCCTGTAGTTGGAACACACTCTACGGTCCTCCTTTTTGAACAGGGGGACCACCACCCAGTCTGCCAATCCAGGGGAACTGCCCCCGATGTCCACGCAATATTGCAGAGTCGCGTAAGCCAACACAACCCTACAACATCCTTTTAACAACCTGCTTTTAAGCTTTAAGTATTTTAATTAATTAATAAATTAATTTACATTTAACTTTAGCTAGCCTTTTTCTACTTTTAGATTTAGCTAGTGTTTTGGCACTTTGGTCTTTTAGCTAGTATTTAGTTTAGCTTTTTGAAAGTGTTCTTTGAGCCTAAATAACTCAGTTTGAGCTTCTTTGACAAAGTTTAGCAGTTATTTCACGCTCACACAAGTTCAAGCGATATGAAAGAGTTGGTTACTGACGGCGAAGGGGTCGGCCTGCTCCCAGGTGAAGGGCGCCCCCCAGGTGTTCAGCCTCATCTTGTTGGGCAGAGACTCTGGGACGGCCAGCAGGATGAAGCAGATGTCGGACAGTGCAATGAGCGTGGCCAGCAGGACCACCAGGTTGTCTCCGTACCACGCCGACAGGTACGCCCCGATGGCCGGACTCGTCACCAGGCTGGCTGCGAACGTGGCCGACACCTGAGGGGGGGTCAGAGGACAGAACCGACGGTTTTAACAGTCCAACAGACGGCCCTGAGGTTTAAACCCCCTCCTCAGGATTCGGTTCTGATCTTACCAAACCGTAGGCGGTGCTCCGCTCCCTTTCATCGGTCACATCGGCAACGTAGGCGAAGATGACGGAGAAGGTGACGGAGAAAGCTCCGGACATGGAGATCATTGCGAAGTACCACCTGGAAGACGGGAAGGTGTAAACGAAAGAAGCTCAAGGTCAGGCCCAAACGGGCCGGAGCAGAACTGCTCCACGGGGAGTCCTACCAGGGGCTGAGCCTCATCAGAGGGATCGGAGCGCAGGTGAAGAAGACGGTGATGAGCAGGAAGGAGCGCCGGCCCCAAACGTCCGACAGCGCTCCGATCAGAGGAGCCGACATGAAGGACAGCAGACCCTGAGACAGGAAGAGGAGGCGACACGGATCTTAACGTCATCTTTTACATCGCTGCTTTTATTGATGCGATTGTAATCTACTTCTTTAGCTGTTCTTAAAACATTCAGCTCATTCGGGCGAGGGGTGATCCGACTGTTGCTTTTTATGCACTTTATTACTTTTCAAAATATTTAACTTTACTTACGGTTGTTTCCAACAGAAATAGGATCAAATCTTTTCAATTCCATAAAAAATGTTGTTCCCTTTAAAGTCTGCTTCAGCTACTCGCTCTGTTCGTCTGGCTTTGCTACTTTAAACTTTAAGCTAGCATTTTGCTCTTTTAGCTTTCAGCTAATCTGCTTCCTTTAGCTTCTCACAAGTCTTCTGCTTCTAATAGCTTTAAGCAAGTCTAGTTTTAGCTTTTAGGAAGTCTGGCGAGTCATCTACTTCCTTTCAAGACTCTTTAGCTTCTTTTAGCTTTATCCAGTTTCAGCTTCTTTCACAGCCGTTCTTCAGCGTTCATCGTGTTTTCTCAGAACGTGCCATTTCGTTGTATTTTATTTTATTCCCAGGAACTCATAAAGTCGTGAATCTTTAAGGATGAAAGTCAGACCTGACTTCTTCGGCTGTGTGATGTCAGACCTGCTGAAGTTCTTACCTTCACTCCCTGAATGAGTCCGTTCATCAGGAACGTGTGCTGAGGAAACGTTTCATGTAAAACCTAAAAGAAAAGATTAACGTGAACAGTGTTTAAAAACAGGCGTTAATGTTTCCTGCCAGCAGACAGCCGAACTCACCGTGAGCATCGGCGTGGTGAGTAAACCCCAGGCGAAGAACTCCAGGAAGATCACCACCACCGCGTGATACACGCTGGGTCTGCCGATGCCCTGCTGAGGCTGGAGAACAGCACATCTCCAGTTTGTAAATAAATTAAAGTCTCTGACAAATGAGTCAATAACAAACTTCAGTAAGTTCAGCAAGTTCTCCTCTGAGGACTTGGGACAGACAAGTCCATGACCTGGGCAGAGGTGAAAAACTTCATGGTTGGAACACATGGAGGACCACGATAAGTCCTGAGGACCGTCAGACTGGTCTGGTGGGTCCCAGTTTTTAAAAGGAGACCGGAGCGTGCTCCATCTCCTCCGCCCCACTGGAAAAGGGACTTGTAAAGGAGACTTCAGTGGACCAGACCAGTACACTAGAGGGTTCACGGGTCAGTGTTTCCCCTCCCGCCCACCAAAATGTCTCCACTACCTTCTGATAATTTCAGCTTCTTTCTGCCTTTTTAGCTACTTTTCCACTTTTGTGTGTGTGTGTGTGCTAATTTCAGCTTTTTTCAGATAAATTCAAGTTTTTTGTGGTAATTTCTACTTTCAGCTTTTTTTTCTGTTTCTGCTCTTTCAGCTGTTTCTGCTCTTTCAGCTACTATATCTTGTTGATGCTAATTTAAGCTTTTTCAGCTAATTCTACTTTTTTAGTTAATTTCAGCTTCTTCCACTTCATTCTGATTCTTTAAGCTTCTGTTTGTATTTTCAGCTATTTCTTTTGCTGATGTCAGCCCTCTTTTTGTAGCTTATTTCCTAAACAACAACAACAACAACAACAACAACAACAACAACAACAACAACAACAACAACAACAACAACAACATTCATAGCATTTTGGCAGGAAATGCAGTTTCTCTAGTTAATTATAAAACGCTCCAAATGTTTTATTTGTATTTCAGACCACTTGTGCAGCCTGTACCCCCCCCCAGGAACGGTCCAACTCTAAATGTTCTGTGTCCATGTAGATTAATGAGGACCACTTGAGGACATTTGCCTGAAATAGTTCGGGTTCTGTTCTGTGGTTCCGGTGCCTGTCAGTTGATGTTTGGGGGGGGGGGGGGGTCATTCTGTCCGCTTCTCGTTTAAAAGCGCTCGTTTCTTGGATGACGTCATCCACAGGTTTCTTGCTTTATAATTAACGGATAATTATAAACAAGGGGAGGTAAAATGGCGGGTCGTGCACTCACCGCGTCCCCGTCCTTCATCACGATCTTCTTGACCAGCACCACCCGGCCGGCGGCCGCCGGAGGCTCCGCCGCCGTCTCGTCGCACCTGCCGCGGGTCACGAAGCATCCCTGCCGCGTCGGTATGCGCGGTTCCCCGGGAGCTTCCAGGATGTTTCTCTGCGGAGCCCCGAGAGGCTGAAGCGAATTACCGGGGGTGGGGGGACACAGACACGGGACACCGGACAAATGTGGTCCTTGTTTGTGTCTCCTGACGGGTCCGCTGCTGCCTGGCGGGACTGCAAGATCCTTCAAAGATGGCGTCAAGTTACACCAGAGCAGGATCAAACATCCGGTTTGCCGTTTCACAATAAGAGCTGCAATAAACCTATAACTTTTTTTTATATAACGTAAATCCAAATATGAGCATTAATGCGTTTCATTTGATTTCAAATGTTTTAACATTTTTTTTTATAAGAGCACACAATTCAGCTGCAACAATATGGTATGGTATAAAGTTTATTAATTTTAAAAATACAAAACAGTTTCATGACTATACATATAAAAATACAGGAGATTTAAAATGAAAGGCAGCAGAAAGAAGAAGAAATCTTATTATATCTGCCCCTTTTTCAAACAATTGGTTCAATCATCATAATTTTCAAGTCACAGAACAAAATGAATAATTTTTCTAATATGATGCTGGCGTGTGTAAAAGTCTTGAACCAGAGCATCATATTGATAAAATTGACTCAGTTGTGGCGGCCATCTTGAGTCAAGTTCACTTCTAATTAGTCCAAAAAGAGATTTTAAAGCAACTCTCAGAAAGAAATCATTGGGTGTATGTCTAACGGAACAAGTTTCAGGTTGATTAAAAATGGCTGCTACAGCTAATCCACGTTAACAAACTGAAAAATGAAAACAACTCTGTCAATTTTTTAGAAAATGAGGTTTAAACTCCGCGTGGAAGAGCAAACTAAGACCATGAACGGATCGCTCACTAACTTTGTTTCACATGCAGCGACATTCAAGCCATGCTAGTTTCATAAAGTTTTTTTTTTTTTTAATTCTTGTGATTTTTTAAAGTAGTTGAACAACAAATCTCCACAATAAACGCTTTATTTTGGACAAGAACTCGGTCCATTACTTAAAAGGACTGTTTTTAGAATTATTTTTAGCCATTTCCCTCTGAATAATGAACCGAAACTCAATGTGTAAACTGTTGTTGTGCCTACAAAGTCCAGAAAACAGCAAATTTATATTAATATTTATCTTCAGACACTGAACTACAAATCAAAATACTTTAATTACTTAAGTAAAATACACACAAATAAGTACTTTATTGTCACAGGGAATAGTTTTTAGAGGTCAACCAAACTCAAACAAGTTATACAATAAAACTTGTGTGTGATTTTAGAGCTGCCTTCTTTTGTCATGACATTTAATTTTAACGTAAAACTTAAAAGTAAAACTTTACATTTTTAGTCTTTGTCCAAAGTTTTTTTGAAAAATAAACCTTCACTACATCCAAGTTTGAAGCTGGATGTAGTATTTAACTTGCCTGTAGATCCTTCATTATGTTAGAGGACAGAAAATAGTCGAATGTAATGAATTATAGTGGCAACAAATAAAAATAAGTCGAATTTTGGTTGTGAAAAGAAGTTTCTTTGGTGGTCATATTTAAACTCTTACTCTGAAAGTCAACCGCTTCGGGTTTCCGCTCATCGCGCGACATTGACGCTAACGGTCCGGTCCGTTATGTTTATTTATTATGAATCCTTGTCGTTTAAACGTAAACCCGGTTTGACCCGAACCGACCTGGGTTCAGTAGAAAAATCCAACCACAGAAATTGAACCAGAACCAGAACCAGGTCCGTTTGTTTAGTTTTTTAAGGGGATAAAGATAAAAGAGAAAACATTTTGTGACATAACTCAAAACAGACACGGGACAGGAAGTGATCATCAATTCCTTTCACAATAAAAATAGTTCAATGAGAAAAGCAGCTGTAAAACAGTTAATGCTCAACACACACAAAAATAAAAACATTCAAACGTTTTTTACACGTCTATATAAATATGTTATATGTTTTTCATAATCAATTACTTTATTTTTCCAGAAACTGCCTCACGTGTTTGTCTTATTTTGAAACGCCAGCTGCCTCCTGATTGGTTGACGGGTTGAACGCACGGACAGCTCACGTGCAGGTGACTGAGGTCCTTCAGACGCGCGTTTACGTGCGTGTCCATGAATAAAACATTAAACAACAATTATAAAAAAAATAAAAAAAAATTGCAACAAAAGAACAAACGTGACCAGCCGACTGACGTCATCGATGAGCGGCACATTTGCTCAGATGGTTTTAACACGTTTGATCTCTCCGGGATGTGTGTTTAATGTTTTCATGTCTGTTATAATTTACACATTATAAACTAAATGTGGATTATTTAATTAAGAAATCAATTAAGTGTCTATGTTTGATTTAAGCTGGAGCAGCTCTGTTGTTGAATTATCACTTTCATCTTCTACATTGTTGAAACAAACTAAATGTAAAAAAGGAATTTGATCATTTGCACTTTTCAAACGATCATTGCTTGATTTGAGTCATTTTGTTCTCCCAAACTCAGCAGAATTAACCATTGTGTGATTTTCTGCATCTATTTAAACAATTTACTCACATTTTTTAACACTCAAAACATAAGTACATATTTGAAGGACCCATTGAGGACAAACCAATTCATCTGATAATTAAAAAAAACTGAGCAAAAGGATGAAATACTCATCGACTTGTTTTTAGTGATACGTTTAGCAACACTAGTTTGACAGAATTCGTTTCATAAATTTACAATTTGTTCTTAAGAGTGGGGTAAATAAAGCAGAACACGTGTTTCTTTTTATAAACCCATAAAATGTTATATTTTTAAAAGCACTTTATGCAGGTGAAGCTTGTCGTGCCGCCCTCTGGTGGTGAATTTGTGTAACTACAGGTGCTCAGCACTGACACCTGGTGGTGGAAAATGGCTCCTGCATAAATAAAACCAGACTGTTGGAGGCTGACTCAGAACAAACCTGTAAAAAACATTATAAAGCACAGGTATTACCTTTACACAATAAAACAGGTAAAGTGAGCTCCTCATCAAGGTGGAAACTGCACCGATACTCGTTTTTTTATGATCACGTTACCTTGTATTTTCCATAATCTGATACAAATATTAAAGTTTGAGTAACGTTTTCTTCCTTTTTCACAGAAACCTCGTTTTCTTAACTACTTGCATATAAGGATGAAGCTTAATAATGTTTATTTAAGACAAAGTCAATCTTCAAACAAAAGTCCAAAGTTTCCGAGCGGTTCGTGTGACGAGCTAAAGTTTGTGACTGGTGTAGAGTTTTGAACTTGATTTACAAATTTGATGTCATAATTACGGCTTGGAGGCTATTTGTGGCAGATTTTATTTTATGTATCTTGTGAAAGTGAGAGGATCAAGTAATTGTGTCTTTGTTAGCTAAATATAGGCAGATTTTAACAAAACTCTCAGAAAATAATCATTTTTTAAAGATGTACAGCTGATTAACTTCTGGGGCCAAACTGATTCAAGATGGCCGCCAGAGCAAACTGAGCTTAGAAAACAGCAAAATTATCTATAACTCAATTTTATAGACAATAAGCTAAAATTTGATGTGGCAGTAACAGAGATGTTCACGTCCTTTGAGCAGCAACAAAAAACAAAATAACTGTTTAAAACGTCACCATCAACTGTTAATTAACAAAGACTGTTAGCAAAATATCAAATGTGGCTAAAACTAATGTTAGCACATGAGTAAAGCCATCAGTTGATGTAGCTGAAGTTTAACTAATGTGGCTAAAACTACTGTTAGCATATGAAATGAGTAAAGCTAACAATTTATGTAGCTGGAGCTATATATATATATATATATACATAAGCTTATGTAGCTAAAGCTTAGCTATAGTAGCTGAAAATAATAGCGTGTATGACTAAAGCTCATAAATTTAAGCAGAAAATAAGAGCTAAATACATTTTTGGCATATTTAACTACAATTAACTTTAACTTTGGGTGTTTGTGGGTCAGGCCTTTGTTAACCTGAGTGGCTAAAGCCTAGCTGTTCCATATGCTATATGCTAATGTCAGCTTATGTAGCAAAGGCTAATGTGGCTAAACTTTGGAATTTTTGGTTAAAGCTACAAGTCAGAGACACAAAACTTGAGAAAATACACAAATTTGAACTTTGACTCACTGAATTAACTGAATACGTTTCGTAAACGTACAAAACCACAACTACGTCCAAATGATCGGTTGTTTCGTGTTGAAATTCAGTCACAAAACGTCTCAATTTGACCACAAATAATTCTCTTCGTTCCTGCACTTTGTCTCCAGTTGGTTGTGTTCAGTGTCAAAAGTTGGGATATGAGTTTGTGATGACTCTCAGCTACTACCACACGAGCCTCGGCTCCGTGTCTGTAAACTGGACCATGGCTCGACGGCGGGCGACAGAAGAGAAAAGCCAGGCGCTCACAGCTTTGTTAACCTGTTGGAAAAACACACGTTTCAAATAGTAAACAATGTGATTACTGCGCATCCTCTCAGACGGTTTTCTATTTCCTTTAAAAAAAAAAAAGCTGCTCTTCTACAATTCGTCCCGGTCGCTCACAGAACTGAACAGACTGGAAGTCATTTCAGAAAGAAATTAACGCTGGAGTCTGAAACTCTAATGCTCCCACACAGAAAATTGGATTTGTGCGCTTCACTGCCTCCGAGTATCAGTTTGTAGCGGGACACAACCCCCCCCCCCCCCAGCAGCAAGTTGGAAACAGAGAGTCGAGACGTCGCTGCTGTAATCTTTTCAAAAAGAGAGAAAGGCGTGGTCGGGGTACGTATTGACCTGGAGCCTCTTGTCTAAACAAAGTCTTCACTGCACTCGTGACTCCAGACGAATTTTAATCGATTCTAAAAACAAATGGGGACTAAAATCCACAACTCCATCAATTCAAGGTACCCACGGTATCCTCAAGTGTACATTTAATTCACAGATTAATTTTTTTAAGAGAGGAGTCAGATCTTAAAGGATGGTTTGGGCCAACCAAGATGAATCTTACCTC